TTCTTGAGGAATAACACTTCGGCATAAGAGAGGCTTTTTATTAAAAATTCCCTCTATCTTTACAAACATCAACCTGCAACGACTGCACTGTTTCATTGGTTTCTCTCCAAATTTCCCTGTCTCTTTTCTTTTTCCTCCAAATTAAAGAGGACTGAACAAAGGCATGTCTTTGTCTTCTCAGGATGACAAGTTGGCAGACAAGGCCAGCTGCAGGAGTTGCAATAATAGAAATAGACAGACAGGGCTCAAATCTTATCCAATAGCTTGATATGATCTTTGATGAGCGCATAGAAAGGAGTTTCAATTATTCCTTTTTGCCAAAAGGCAAGGACATAGCCAGCTTTTTATGTAAAATGTAGGCTGAATGCTTTTAGAGCCGCTGGAGAAATTTCACCTTTTCACAGTGAGCATTATGTTTAAAGTAAGTTGAAATAACTAGCTGTTATTAGCTTTTACAAGGCATTTTCTAAAGTTATGGGGATTTTACAGCGAACAACTTTAATCAGCTTAACTGTGCTTTAAAGTCTTTTGATATTTATTCTTACGCAGATGTACTATGCATAAATGATAGTGATTTTTTTTTTTAGATAATCAATTCTCTGTGATCTTAAGCTTGTGCTCCTGCAGAAGTTAAAAGGAAAGACAGTCATCAGTTTTTGTCCAGTAGTCCAATAACATGTGGGACATGCAGTTTAAATTTATCAAAAGAGATCAGATGTTTCGCCTCCTTTCTTAGGAAAAACGTTGCACATGTGGCTTAGAATTTTGCATCACCTTTATCGATGTTGCTTTTAAAACCATTCAGTTGTCCTTCGTGCTCCTATGAGCACAATTTATGTAGCAAGCAAAGCCTGCTTTGGTTGGTCATTAAGAAGAGCCGTGTTACTGTCTTCTAACTAACCTGGGATATTTCCCGCTCCCATTTAGGACACATTACGGAAGCAACACAAAAGCGGAGCGGTGCTTCATATTTAAAGCATATTCTATATGTGGACTCTGAACAGTGTAGCATTTAATAGTTTACCGTGTAGAAATTTCCACATCAGTGCACTTGCCCTTGCAATGCAAACATTAAGCTTAAATCAGAGACACATTAATCTTTAGGCTTTGCAGAAGCTTTTAAAATTATTCCCCGTTTGTGCTTCCTGAAACGACAGAGTTGCTGAATCATGTAAGAACTCCTTTGGGATCTTTCGACCAGTTTTGCCAATGGTGTTTATTTTTCACAGTCCAGTAACGTTTGCCAATAGTGTTAATCATAAATATTCTATAGGCAGCAATTCCACAGAGTTGGGTGGGTGGGCACTGTCATTTATTATGCCAGTTTCTCATGTGAAAGGCATAGTTCTGTAGTTATGTGTGTATAATAACAGAGGTAAATTTTCTCCAAGTTAGGCAGCCACTTTAATGTGGCTGTATGAATGTCTTTTAAGAAATATGTCGAAGAAATGCATCAATTTTAATATAATTTTCTAAGAATCTTTAAATGTAACTGCAGTGTCATGTCTCAGTGGATCAGTTGGTTTTCAATGTGGAGAGAGAAGCCCCAATTTTCTGGCTGAGGCTGAGTGACACCAGGGGGTCTGAGCATGTGCTACATGCACAAACAGCTGGCACTGCATGATTCATGAACACTGGAAATCAGGGGTGGATGATGGACAGGCCGCATATTGATTTTTCTTCTTCTGTTTTTTATTTTATTTTTTGGGGCGTATCCCACCTTGTGTGATTGTGTGTAATGATTAATTGTTAGCAACCAACCGACGGTGTTATTCAGTTCCATTAAATCTATGAAATGTTTTTACGAGGGTCCAGACTTTTGAGAAAATTCATTGTGGAAAAGTGTTGCTCCATCACTGCCCAAGCATTGCCTCTAATGTAGTCCTTAAGTACAACCTGCTGTCCTGAACACAACCACCACAACCCACACCCACTGGCTAGTGAGTGCACCCAGGGGAGCAGGCACAAAGGGATTTCCTCTCAGATGATCCATTATGAACGTATTCTAAGGTCAGACTGGAGTTCAGAGTCCTGCACATTTAACTTAATTAGTGGTTTTCTCTGAGTAATGGGGGTTGGGGTTAGTTATCAACTTTTAACTCTACTGAATGGATTCCTTACTTATATCAAAAATTACTGCAGCTTCAACATTATGTAGGGTTTTTTTTCTACCAGGCATTTTTCGGTTTCACTTCCTATCTTTGGCTCCTTTTCTTTCTCTTTGAAGGTTAGTGAGAACAAACCACAAAGGAACACGGGGCACAACAACACTCTTACCATTATTCATACAGTGACAAACGGTGCAGTGGTGTTTCATTGTGCTGTATTTGTGTGTTTCATAGAGGTATCCTCTTTTGTAGAGGTTTCCGTTGGGATGTCTGAAAACTGATTCTAAATCGTTAGACAGGAAGTAAGCCTTGCCACAATGATAAGAGGCCTTGCAGAGATCTGTCAACTACATCTGAATATGAGACAATTTGGGCTACAGGCCAAAAACAAGGGTGAAAGAAGGAACAACTGCTCTGCTCGGGAATAGATTTAAAAAAAAAAAACCTGTGGTCGTGTTAATGCTCGTCATATAGGTTTACATATGGATTTTTGACTCAGACGAGGCAAGTAGGGGCTTATGCAGCCTACTTAATGGGGTTTCACGGGTTCTATATATTAAAATGGCTTTTATTTTGTTTGTGACATCATTTCTCATACAAATCCTTGCATTTGATCAGTGATACATAGTCCTTAGAGGATCTAAATAAAATGTGTTTTTCTTTGATGATCCATTAATCACAAGTTTGGAAAGAAGTCAGGCTTTTTTATTGATGCGTGTGTGTATTTACTGTCACAGTCTTACATATGTGACTATTCCAGTGGTTAAGGATTAAATATGTTTATCCCAGACACCCTGGATCTAATGATTTTATAGCAGATTATTCTGTTTTTTCCATTAAAACGTTCTCATTTCCTGTCTTTTTGAGTTACAGGGTCATAGACAAATCCACAATAATGTGATTTTTATCCATCTATCCATTTTCTTCCACTTATCCAAGGCTGGGTCACCCTGGATTAGTGATCATGAGAGAGATTTAATGGCATCATGTTGTTAAGAATAACTCACAATTACTAATACACAAAAAAGTATCACCATCACCATTTATCGTACCTACACAGACAAATTATGAGCTAAGTGGACATAATCTGGCTGCTTCCTTGGGCATAATGAAACTCATGAATGTTGGTTGTTAAAGAAGCAATCTTTTTTTCTACTTTGCGTCTCTATCCTTGACACACAAGTTTTTGTTTTCCAACTTGTATTTTATCCTGAAGGCTGAACCCCCTCCTGAAATTTCCCGAGTATTTAAGTCAGTTTTACAGTCAGAAGTCTCTGAATGTGGGACTTCATTGACTTTACAGCTTCTTCTGCACAAGGAGGTAAACCTCATGCAGAAGGAGCTGCCAAGAAATCTTCATGGAGGTTTCTGCAGTGCGTGTTTATTGTAATTTTACGAAAGAGACAAGCCGCCAACGCTGCCAGCACTGTAGTGTTACAAGTGAATTATTCAATGTTACAGTCAAGCCACTGTCTGTGTTCTGATCTGTTAGAATGATGGACAGCCTTGAGATTTTCTGTCATTCTTTAAAATAAAACAACAACAAAAAAAAATCCACAGGTGTTGTAAAATATTCAGTCAGCACGACCTTGTGCAGAGGGTTCACCTGCCTCTAACCCGAGGTGAGCTGGAATGACCATGTGCACAGATAATTGCAGAGAGAATGAATACATGAGCCGAGGTTCCTGTCCGGACAATATATTTCCCAGCTTCTTGTATTAATGTTTGTTTCCCCATAAAGCAGCCTTTTTGCTTATTGTTACACAGCCTGCAGTTTAAAATCTTTTCATGGTGAACCAAAGGTAAGTTACAGTCATTAGCACTTACTTCAACTCAACACTATGGCCCCACGACACATTTACATATGGGGAGACAGATAAACTAAATTACCGGTTCAAGTGCAAGCTGATAATAAGATCTCTCAAGGGCTATCATGTTTCTTCTTGACTTTTGCTGTCCTGAGGTTAAATTTGGATTTATTATGAGGTTGAAAGCATCTGAGCTAGAACACATTTTTTATTAAAGACTGCGATGGCGAACAAGTGGTCGCTAGGGGAAAAAATGGCTATTGACTCACATGACTAGAATGCCACATATGCATACTGCAAGTTTTAATTAGCAGTGGTAGAGAGGTGTGAATGTGAGTGTGAAAAGTTGTCTATGTGTTAGCCCTGCATCCGATTGGTGACCTGTCCAGGGTGTACACCGCCTCTCGCCCTATGGTAGCGCAGATAGGCTCCACCCCCCACCCCCTCGCTACTCTAATAGGCATAAACGGAACAGGATGGTAGGGACTGTATGCTTTGTGACATTTGAATCCCATGTGTCAAGACTGCCGCTATATACTGGGAAAAAAGCCTTTTTTTTATGGATCCCAAATTTTAGTTTAGGGATTATATTTTACTTGTTGTCATGCTCTTACATCCATTATGATGAGTTGGATTATTCAAATGGGTTTGTTTAGTTTGCAAAGCCTGAGGCAGCTCATCTATGCATGGGTACCCAGAGGCAGATTGCAGCTATCTTCCTTCTGTCTAAACCTCAGACTCCTTGTGTTGGGTAATAAGTCGCCATGATAATCAGTCGCAAACAGCATTCTTATTTCCAACCTAATCCAAATCAGTACCAGATCTAGTGTTACCCAGTAGTATCGCCTGCTCTTGCACAATGTTTTTTTGCGTGCGTGTGGTCTGATTACTCTGAGGCCTGCAGCACTTGAAATTTATTTGCTCGATTTCAACCTCCTCTCTGGCCTTGCCAGCTCAACAGCTTTGTTGCACTCAACTCCTCTTGCAACAGCTGGAAATATATTTTCTCCGAATATTTTTCTCAACATCTTTTTTTCTCTGTCTAGTGTCTAAAATTAAAATTTGCCTTTTTGCTCATTTTCAGAGAACCAGGTTCCTCATGGTTTTCCCACCATCGATATGGGCCCCCAGCTAAAGGTGGTCGAAAAGACCAGAACTGCCACAATGTTGTGTGCTGCCAGTGGAAACCCAGACCCAGAGATCTCATGGTTCAAGGACATGCTTCCTGTGGATATCAGCAGCAGTAACGGGCGCATCAAACAACTTCGCTCAGGTACGGTTTTATTTGATCTGATTTATTACCTTTAAAGTTTAACTTTATGGCATACCGATAATGTTGCAATGGCAGCTCTGCATACGAACACACATAAATCATGTTAGACATGAGGAGATTTTGAAAAATACAAACAAAAACCCAAACAGCCTTTGTTCTGATATGATTTCATGTATTCACTTTCATCACAAAGGACATGAAAGTGTTATTGAACTTGTCATTGTCACCTTGATTACTTGGCTGAGTTCTTACAGAATTTTATTCCTCACAACAGCACAGCAGTCACTTTGAAAGTACCTCAGGAGTTGGAATGGTGTTCTCGTCTTAATCTGGGATGCTCGACAGCGATGAATGCTCCTGTAACCTTTTTAAAATACCGAAAAATTATTTTCATCACATTAAACATTCCTTAATTATTTGTTAAACATGCAGCTGGGTCACAGTACGGCCAACCAGTGGTGCATTTTCTAGGATTTGACTTTGTGAATGCTCTTCACTCACTGTAGTTGCTCTGTTAATCACTGAAGACATGTTCCCTGGCCTGGGCCAGATGGCAAAGGTTTTGCACCAATCTGCATACTAGATGCCTTTATTAGGGCCACATTTAAACCAGGAAAAACAGTAGTTTTAGACCAAAATTACTGTGCAATCAACTCACAATCTCTCTACCTTTAAAATAAATAATAAATAAACACTCTTAGTGGCAGCTATTGCACACACATCACAGCGTAAGACGTGCTTTTTGCTGTAAAACTTAGCTCAATTTGAAGTTTCATAATTTGATGGAACAGACGAGTTGCACTCATCAGTGCAGACTGACTATGACTGATTGCAGCGTATTGGCAATCTGCCCGCATTCATAGATTAAATGGTGATTAATTGCAAATCCTCTCCAGCCTGTTTGAGAGTGATTGCAGTCTGAGTCGAACCGAGACAGGTTGCGTCCAACCAGGTGACCTGTAAAATCACCTCTCGATCAAAAGTACCTGTCTGTCATCCAGATATATAGTATGTTGCTCCTCACAAGAACAACAAAAGAGCCCCAGTATTTTCCACACGTACATAAGACTTGTTACTTAGTCAACATAGAGCCTACTTAAGTCTAATTACACTTTTGGAGATTTAGTTAGCACAGTAACATGAGAGAGATGTCCCTGCCCCTCAAGTGCAGGCTGTAATCTCCCGCATGCAGCTCAGACTTACACACTGCACCAGGACAGGACATCCATTCATATAGAAGCCTATATGTTCATAAACCACTGCATTAACAGAAAGGGAGCGCATGTCTAAAAGCAGGTTATGAGCCATGAGACCTGGCTGTAGGTCTGAGACCCAGGGATTAAATATGAGAGCTACTCCAGAAAAAGACTGGCATTAGAGCTGCACAGCAGAAGCCAGGGGCACTCATGCATGTTCACTTACCCACGCTGGCTCTTGGCCGCGCTGCATCAAAATAACCCAAATTAAATACGAATGCCTACAAATTAGATACTAACAAAACTCCTTAATTGTTTCATAACATTTTAGTGCAACGTTTAAATTGTGCGCAAACCTTTTTAAAAAAAATTCTACTTCTAATAGCAAACTTTTTAATTAGTTTTCTTCCTCGCGTATATTGAAAGTGCCTGAAAATGTGCTGATGTGTAATGCCCTCGGACTAACAATCCTTTTTATTCGCTAGCCTGTTCTTGACATCTGCTGCTCTATCAGGATTTACATTACTGCCTGTGACCAGAAATGAGGCCAATTTTGCAATAGCGGGAAAAAAGTGCATTAATTTGCTTTCGCACTTTAACAGAAAAGAAAGACCCACTTCTATTGCATCACACAAGCTCGATTTTTTTTTTTTTTTAATTGAGCGCGCAGCCACATTTATTCTTTATCTCTTTCACACCATCCAATTCATTCACTCTATAGAGATACTAACTTCCTTTCAGTTTAATACCTCTGATCTCGATACTTCTTGCTATCTGCCATTCTGTTTACTGTCTATGACTTTCATTAATTGCTCTTGCCCATTTTTTACTAACTGCTGTCTGCAGAGTGGGAGCCATCTTAAATCTGAAAGCTTAATTAATATATCACCTTCAAATTCATCCTTTTATAATCCTGCTGTAAAGCAAGGGTAAATGTGGTTGTAGCTTTTGTAGGAGCATTTCAAAATATTTGCTTAAGAGACGGGATCCTTCTGAAAAACTGCAGTTTTTTCTTTCATTGGCCAGTCCAAAATTTACCCTTGCTTCACAGCATTAAGCATTACAGCATTACTTTTAAGTGGCTTCTACTCTTTATCAGGTTGTTTTATCTTTTTATATGTGGCCTGTCAGAAGCCATGTTTTTTTTCTGCCACTGTTGTAAGTGGATTACTAACTAATCTCTCAACCTTGTTTGCATCGAAATTACTCCCACCTAGGTGGTACACCAATTAGAGGTAAGAATGATGGAAAGTGTGTTGGAAAATATCACATCCACGCCATTCCCTCACGCCCACATCAGATCTCTGTTTTCTCCCCTACGCCACCGACATCACCGACTTCATCAGTGCTGTTGTCGCCCACCCACTTCTGCCCTCATCTCTTCCCAAAATGTTCTGTCTGTTGTCTGCTCCTTGACAAACAAATGATCACCAACCCGGATGCCATGAGAATAGAAATGAAGTCCAATGTGTTATCTTGTAAATGAGCCTTTTGAAGGCCCTTCCCATACTGTAAAGAATGAACAACACGTGAGGAAACACACACAAGCATTATTTCAGAGAAACAAACATCTCTCGGCTTCTGCCTCTCTCATGGCTTTTTAGCAAAAAAAGGGTGAGGAGTCGCATTTTCAACTAAAGGCCACCAGCACCACAAGAGGATTTACCTGTCGCTTCAGTGCAGACTCAATGTGAAGTGAAA